CCCCAAAACCCCAAAACCCCAAAACCCCAAAACCCCAAAATTTAATAAATATTTAAAAATGAACTTCTACGAGAAATACAAGCATCTTTTTGAGGAGGAGAAACCAAAGGAGTCTTTGTATAAAACACAAGATCATGCTAATTACCCTAAAGATCCTGCTAGCTCCTCTTATCAATATAGGGAGGAGTATCAAGTAATGTCAAATTTCTTTCAAATTTTATTCTTTACAGAGCATTCCTCTCCCAGCTTTCAAGATGCCTCCAAAGTACCCTAAAAGACATCATGCTACCAAAAAGCATGAGAAAAATGTAATTTTTCATTCTAACCTTTCAGTCTCTACTTCCCCCAAAACCAAAAATGAGGCTACACCAACATCCCCACTCCCACCAGTACCCTACTCAACACCACCAATACCCTGCTCACCACCATCCCCACCAACATCACCCTCCTCAACCAACTTTCGATCAGCCACACAAAAAGATCAAGAGAGGTAAACCTCTCTCTTCTAAATAATCTAGGAATAATCAAAGACTCCCAAGCATCTCAACCAAAATACGTATCATTCCTTCCAAAGGTATGTCTATTTATATTCAGACTGATTGTCCATTTCAGAATAAGCTTTAACCTCCTGAGGATGCTTCATTAATTTTTTATTGATACATATTTGGTATAGCTGGTCAATGACCCTCGAAAAGAAGTTGTGAATGGAACTTCTCATGTAAAGTTACCGAGTATTGATAAGGTTTGGTATTTTGTAACTTTTAGACAAATCCAAATCCCAATCCATCCCCAGTGATTAACAAGATTGAAGGACATCATAGGAGGAAATTGAGGCCTGTCAAGAGTCAGCAGGAGCCTAGAAGAAAGAATTTCGATAAGTTATTCTCGAAAAAGGTATTATTTACATCAAATTTACCAAATTACTATCGTGAATTATTGCCATTCAAGTGTTCTAAATTTACACTAGCCTTTCCCATACAACATATTTGATAGAGAGGAGAACCAAAAGGTGAAATATTCTCCTAACGTTAAGAAAATCAAAGCTATCGATAACGAAAAGATTAGGAACAAGTAATCTCTTGCTAACGCTTTAGGTGAAAATAATGAACTTTCTCAGCTAAATTTCGGAGCTCAAAATGACCTGAGCCCGACAGATGATATCATAAAGACTTTAGTTTACAATAAAAAAGAGAAGGATACTTCTAGAGGACTTCAAAAGGCTGTCGAGAAGAGGATCATGTCCAAGAAGATCCTCGTTCACAGAAGAAATGAGCTTAAACACATGCTTAAAAATGTAGAGATGTTCTATTAATATAATTTTTCAATTTAATCTAAATTTTTAGGGGTTTTGGGGTTTTGGGGTTTTGGGGTTTTGGGG